TGCTGCAGTTCAGTTTGCTGGATGGATTGTATGCAAAACCAGCATTTCACGAGTGGTACGCAGGTATCCTGAGAGCAGAGCAGAAGTGACAATACTGCAGTTCACGGTAGTACTCTCTACTCCGCTGCGAGCATAATTAGCTAACTTAAAAGCTTATTTCTGTGTATTTGGAGGCCCTGGCAAGTATGTATTTGTGACTGTATATGTAAAAGAAGCAGTTGTATGCTTACTTTGTGTAGTACTTTAGAACGCAATTCTGCACATCGATGCGCTTTTTTTTAGTAATGTTCTATGCCTTTCTTCTAACACAACAGGTCTGTTTTCAATATTTTCAGATTGTTCTTTGGCTGTTAATCTTTGCATTTTTACGCTCTATATATTGTTAGTCTGCTTTCTGGCTTCAAATTTTTTTTATCTTTCTTTAAAATCTAGAGGAATGCTTTGAAGTACTTTCTCTCCATGCCTTCTGTCAATTCCATTTAAGTTTTTCAGTGGTGGGTTAGGTTTAACATAGGAAAGAAATACAGCCATCTACTGCAAATGTCACCCTAAACCTCTTGAACTGCTTTTGTTTAAGCTAAAAGCAAACAAGCCCTTGCCCCTGGCCTGAAACACAGTATAGTGAGCTTCAAACCCAAAGTAAATAATTTTGCAAAGTTACAAACAATTAAAAAATGGATGTCTTGAATTCTTCTGTAGTGCCACAGTGAGTGGTGCTCACAATAGCAGTAGTTTTTAATACCATTTTTGGTTGAGTGTTTTGGCTGAAAGAAAACTGAGCGTATGATATTTCTCTTTAAGACCATAATGACAGTGGGATAACAGCTGTGAATGCTCTTGGTGGTTAGCGGACGAGACCTTGGTTTGATTCTTCTCCAGTGTACATACTAGGGTCTGTGTTTGCATGGCTTACACCAGGTTTGTAGATATTTTAATATGCTAGGGAGACGAGCTACATGTTTGGTGGGATATTGGTGGTTAGAGTGGTTAAGAACGAGGAACCAGAAGGAATACGACCAACAAAAACTTTTGCTGGAGAATAAAAATCCAGTGGTGTAGAGCTAGGACAGCATCAGTCAGGTTTTGAGAAGGAAGAGAACTGAAACCTGCTGCTGTTGTGTGTCAGGGTTAAACGTTCCTCTTCCAAGAGTACATCACCGACTTGCCAAAGTGGAACTCTACTAATAATGCGTGCATAGTATATTATAAATTACCTGTGTACATCTAATCTGTATCCTTTGATACAAACCAGACGCCAGGCCTGTGATGGAACTGATGGTTTTCATCAGCACGTAGCACTTAGCACACGCAAACTGCTGCACAAATGTATAGCTAAACATTGTGAGACCCTTGCAAAGTAAGAAGGAACATCCCTTTGGGGGATTTTGGATTGAATTAGTGTGGAAGCTAGGCCAGTGGGCAGTTAATTGATCGCAGTGGTCTGTAAAATTAAAGGAACTGTTTCCCAATCTGCTGTTTTATAGATGCTAGCTAGTTACATCATTAATCTGTCGTCTTGTAGGCTCCCACCATGTTTTGCAAACACTGAAAATGCTCTCTGGCAAATTTTTTTTTTTTACTTTTTAACTTTTAACTCTTTAGTCTCCCCTCCTTCTTTGAACAGCTTTCCCCTACATGACATTTTTCCAGCTTTCTTGCATCTTGCGTAATCATGTGCTGATTCGGAGCGCTTAGACAGACTGGAGACATGAAACTTTCTGTACTTGTTTTCCACATCTGGTCAGTTACACTTATGGCAGAAGGTTGTTCATGTGTCAGACCAGACATCTCTCTTAAGAAACATGGAGGGGAGACAATAAGTAGCTTTTTCTCCGGATCAATCTCACTGCTATTGGCAGGAGTCAGATTTCTCTCAGGGTGGTTAATGTTCCTTGAGAAATTATTTGCCAATTCCCTTGAAAAAATGTCCCAGGATTGCTCCAAGGATTGAAATCTTCCATCTGCTACTGTGCTCCTTTGCAATCAGGCTTTTCTACAGCTGGTGAGTGGAAAAGTAAGTCACTGTATTTGGCCAGATGTGATCCTCTGCTGTCATACATACACAACACTTGCAAATTCTGCTTTTTTTTTTCTTTTAATGCCCTATAACCTGTCATCTGCCATTTGCCCTTACCTCTCAATTAAGTATTATATCATCTGTATTCATCCTTCCTCTGACTCCTTTATCCTTGCTGACTGTCTTTCCTTCTTTCATGCACAGTTATTTTCAGCTGTGTTCCCACCTCTGTATCAAAGCCTTCCTGCTTCTCCCATCGTCATAGATTCCTTGCACAGACCCTGGCCATCTGTTCCTCGCCCTTTGCATTCTTGTCCTATGTTTTTTTCAGTATCTTGCTTCCTTCTTCTGTTCCTTTCCTTATCCTCATCTTTTATTTGTTGTCATGGGAATACCCACTGTGACTTCTAAATAATACACAAAGAGCTGTGGTTTCATTTTATTTTGTGAATTCTTGATTGTGAAGAGAGAATTAGAAAAAACGCCAAGAAATTAAAATCTGTGAGAGAAGAAAGCAAAAGCTTGAATAAAATTGTATAAAAATCATCACTGCTTTTAGACAGAGAAAGATCTTCTAATCTTCTAACCTCATGGTGTGGCAACCTTGCATGTTATGTAGATCAGAATCTGAGAAATTTCTGTAGTTCTCAGTGTTTGTCATTACTGTCTCTTTCATGACTAAATGCTGTGGAATATCGGGACCAAGAAAATAATAAGATGCCATACTGGGAAACATGCTTCCAAGCTGGAAACCAGCTTTTATGATTTTATTGCAATTCCCTGAGAGCTCCTTGTGTGCTTCCATTTTAGAGAATGTAGAAACATTCCTAAAGAACTTAATGAATGTGAAAAAACAGAGAAAGTGACACCTTTATGGCCTTTCTTGCAGAAGGCGTTGGCTTATTCTTTGTACTTGCAGTATGTGGGCCTAGATAAGCTCCTTAGCTTCTCTGCTTCCTCTGCAAGTTTTGTTCCAGAAAAATTCTTTGTTCAGAGATACTGAATGATGTGTGCTCAGGTGTTTGTCCTCCCTGGGCTTCATGAACTGCAAACTGCACCTAAGTACTCATCCTCTTCTGAACTGTATACTTCTGTTTAGTACAGCATAATGTGGGGACTGACATACTTGATTTTTTAAGAATTTTGTCGAAAGCTCAGAAAGAGTACTGTTTAACTATCCTCCAAAATTAAGATGTTGGTGTGCCTCAAGCCACATACTGAAACCCACACTGCCTCTGTGGTTACTTGCACTAAAAGCAATGAGTAAACAGCTGGACATATTTTTCCCCAAGTTATGTATGCCTTACCATTAGTGTAATTTCTCTATAAATTGAAGAAAAACTAAAACATTCTTTTTGAAAGGAGACCTTCTTGACTGTATGTATGCCCACACATGCATGAACACATACTTATCTAGAAAGAGTAATTAATTTTTAAAAATTGAGCTATAAAAGGAACCCCTAAACCCAGTGAGCTGCATTCTAATCTACATGGACCAGTACGGAGTTTCTTTTTACTGTTATGGCTGATCTCTAAGACTTGGCAGTAAGCCCTGCCTGATATTTATCATGCGTTTACATTTAGTATGTATTTCTGAAAATACGGACTGAACGTGAGCTTAAATAGAAATTGGGACGTGACTGTAGCTCCAAAACAGTTCTGTTTGCATTTTATGAATGTGGTCTTGGTGTTTCAGTTGCACAAGAATATAAATGATATGGTTAAATTATCAAGGCTAGGAATTGCAAGAAATGTCTAGGAATGCTTTTCCTCTCAGTGGGATCCTCAGTGAGAAAGGGAATGTAGAAGCGGAGGCTTCATGTAAGGGTTTTTGGGGGAAGGCAGAATGAAACCTGGGCTCTGACAGCCACCTTCGTCGTCTTCACGATTATTCTGATGTACTAGTTTTCTACCTGACTGGTGCTCAGAACATCTTAAAGCTAAACCAAAGAGTGAATACTTAGAAAGAATACTATTGTTTCTTCTTTCTTTTTTTTTTCTTTTTTCTTTTGTGTTCATTTCTTTCAAATGCAATAACTAGTTTCCAAACTATATTTTATTACAATTTTTTTTGCATTCTCATTCATCTCATTTCATATTTCAAGGTGCTTTGGCTAATGCTGAGTATTATGTCCCTGAGGGGCGAGTCATGCATCCTGCTCAGCTTAAGAGTTTCCAAAGTGCCTCTGGAAAACTTCCAACTAAACTGGAAGGGCCTGATTCAAGATGGGTGGCAGGTTAATGGAGAGATCTCTCTCTTTATGAATGATTCCTCCTGGAGTAACAGGAAAATGGAGGGAGTATTCACACCAGTCCTGTGAGATGCGACTTCTGTGAGATTCCTCTGCCTCAGGCCTGAAGGAGGAGAACACTGAAGTCTAGCAGTGTGAGTGCAGCACCGAAAAAAGGGGCCATGGCTTTACATGCCTTTGAGCTATAAAGGCTTCTATTCACCAGTATGCAAAAGGGATTGGGGCCATGCCAATGGCATACCAGACTTTGGGAAGACTGGTATCAGCAGCTGAGCAGGTGGATCTGCTACTGCTTTTGTCACTGCTTCCATTGAATAAGGAGAGCTGGAAAAGGACCAAAGGAAATCATCTATCCAAAGCCTGCATGTCATGGAGTCCTTTGCATAGAGATGCCAGATTATGGTATGAAATAGGATTTTGGTCCTATGCTGAACATGCAGTACATAACAAGATTATGTGCCATGGGAGTGAAAATTTCTTACACTTTAAGTTGCTTCCTGTAATTCTTTTCTGTGGTTCAAAGCCTCAGACTTATATTTGGGTGCTTTTGTATTTATTTTGTATTGGTTTTGTATTTATTTACACAAGTTGTAAATATATATAAATTTGTATACTTAGAAGTGTATATCCACCTGTTTATTTAAATATATTTCTATGTATACACATTTTATAGGTATGTTTAATATATGTTACTGAAATAGGTTGATTTTGTCCTTTGTTTCCTTTATCAGTTTGCTGAAAGCAGTCAGAAAAAAGAGGCTTTGCAAAAAAGCATTGAGAAATCAAAAATTGGACGTGAAGATACTGTAAGTTGCTTTGCGGGGGAGGCATTCCTACCGGGAAATAGGGCTACAAGTATGCATGGTTTGTAAATACTAATGAAGTCATTGGAAATCCATTAAGAATTCTAAATACTGGAGATGAGAAAGGGACAGAAGAAAATCAGATATTAGGTTATTCCTTAGTTGGTCATGCACTAATGAGTAGATATTGACAACTGGCTGCTCCAAGGCTGAGAAAATAGTGACTGCCTGAAGTCTGGTAATCTTCCAGGGTTTTTCAGATTTAAAGATATCTTAAAACTTGAACTACCCAGAGGTATGTACCAAAGTTGGCAATGGTTGCTGAACTGCCAAATCTAGTAACTGCAAACTTAGGTGTTGGGGGTCTTATTTTTTTTATCTTATTTATAATCTAAATTTCTAAATTACTATTCTGAGCAGCCATGTAAGCTCAGTGCTCTTTGCATGCTGAAGCTGTTAACACTGCAAAATAGTATTTAGGCTTCATATTTACCATACGTATGAAATAGCATATTAGTTAAAATACTTCATACGGTATTCTAAGTTGCTGATTTGTTTTCAGATGCTCAGTCTAAAGTGGTTTAAACCTCTAATAAATAAATGCATAAACAGGGACGGCCAGAAGCTTTCAGGTGGAATTGAATTTTGTGGGGAAAGTGCCAAGTCTTAGAATCCAAAATGTTTTATAGAAATTCTCTGGGTTTGACCGTAATCAGGGAATCACGGGTGGGTTTCTCACACAGTTGTGCTTGTCAGGTTTCCAAATGGACTCTTCGAGACTTGGGCTTCTCCACCATGTGGCCTGCCCTAGTCACAAGAAGCTATTGGTCTTGGAAATCCTGTTCTAGCTGATGCTTCCAACATTTTGGTTCTGGATTATACATCAGGAAGAAGTCCCAAGAAATCTAGATCACGGTGCAGGTCTCTGAGCGGCTGGCCTCCATACCCCAGCATCTGGAAACTTTTGATTTCCAATCTGCATTTTCAGAACATGCTGAATCCAGACTGTTGGCAAAAGCACTGGGAATATGGAAGTTTGGAAAAACAACAACAACAAAAAACCCCACCTCAGTCTGCTGGGCTGCCGGGGAGATTGCCATTGGCTAAAAACCTGATGGTTTACAAACTCATGCTATCTGGCTTTTTTAGGCTACCCAGTGCCCTAGCCCGAGTTCTTTGAATATCAGCCAGTTACAGTATTTGGCTGTAACTACAGACTGGATTAGAAGTATGTGCTGAGTTGGCTATGGGAGAGCTCTTGTTGAGTCAGTGTCTGCAGATTCTTATTGATCAATAGAATATTTGAGGTTGATACTGTATACTTTCCCAGCAAAGACTACCATGTCATAAATATCTGATTTTATTTTTGAAACCACTGCTCTTAAATGGTGTGGAAAAAAGAAGGAGAAAAATAAATTCAGAGGGTGTTCATACACAGCATCCCGATATGTGGAAGTGTGAATGGTAGGTTTGTCTGTAATGCCGTCCTTCATTACAAGACTAGCACTCCTAAGTATCACTTAACCTTTAAGCCCAACAGTTAAGAATTCTATTTGGAGTTTGTCAAACCACGTCGAGTTCAAAGGTTGTAGAAAATTGTTCTTTCGTTTATCCATTTTGGCCTTAGTTTTTTTTCCTTCCAGTTTGTACTCAATATCATTTAGGGTCACTGGGACTGTGTGCATAAAATGCTCAAGTGATTCATTGACAGAAAGCAGTAGTGAAAACAGCTTTTAAATTTACATCTTTTCATTTTTTGAAAAACGTTCTGTGCAATAATTACTGATTTTTTGGTTTTGTATTTTTTTTGTATCTCCCAACATATTTTGAATCCTTAGGCAGAACGTGCAGCTCTAATAGAGGAACTTGCTGCCCTTCGGCAGAAGAAAGAGAAGCTAAAGGCAGAAATAGACAAATACAGAGAATGTGATCCAGACGTTGTTGAAGAAATGCGTAAGTTGTATATTTTTTTAAAGTGAAGTTCTGCACGAAAAGGTCTGCACTTCTTCAGCTTAAAATCTAGTATGCCAGAGATAAGCCAAAGAATAGCTGCTTTTCTTTTTAAAGCTGTAAGCAATACAATACAGGTACACTAACCACTTCTTTTCATGTTTTGTTGTATTATATAAGGGTTTTTTTATTGATATTTACTCTGCCAGCAACTGAGCAGTTAACAAACAATCCTAAAATTGAATTACTCTGATGCATTAGAATTAATATCAGGACCATTCTTTCTAGAACAATATTAATTCTATAACTTCTAAGTGTGCTGAACCCTAGAGTGTGTGTAGGAAGAGTAGTCTCTGGCTCCCATTTACCTTCAATTCCATGCTGGCAAAACAGGTATCTTTCTGCTTACTTTGTCTTGTCTATTTAGAACATAAGCATTTCATTAGACACACTTAATTGTCACTTATACGTAAGTATGATATTACACTGTTGACTTACTGTTTGTACTGTCTCTGACATGCTGGGTTTTGGTTGGAGTTGCTAATTCTAATGGAATACAATTAATACAGAATTGGGCACTGAAATGTACTTAATATTCTGATCCTTAGCATGAAAAATGAAAAGCATGCATGAAATTTTATTGAATTTTCTCTGCTTTGGCTTTCATGTTTTATTTATTAGGCTCTTACGTTGCTACCCAAACATTACTGCATATTCAGTTGCTGTAATGCCAAAATGCCATTACAGAGTGATGAGGAACAGACACAGACCTTTTTCTGAAAAGATATCTGACTGAATCTTTCTCTTTCCTTATTCTTCTAACAAAGTCCACAGCTTTAGAAATGTGCTGAGAGAAAGCCAGGAACATAAACAGAGTTGGCAGCACACTCCAAAATTGGACAGATATTATTTATTTTGAGAGGCTGTGACATTTTTTGTCAGTTGCGTTATCTTTCCCCAAGGATGTAATGGTATGCCAGGGAATAAGCAAACTCGAGACCTGAGGTTAGTTACTGTGCTGTAAATCCCTCGCTGTGTGCTCTCCTGCGGACAAGTAACAGACACATTCCAACTGATTCCAGCTCTAAAAATGAATGAGGTTAGGCAGATACCGACAGCAGAGAATTCGTAGTGCCAGGTATTTTAACTGCTGAGATACCCTTATAGTAAGCATTGCACTGAATGATTTGAGGAGCCTCTCTTTTGATGCAGTCGCAGTGAGCACGTTCCTAAATACTAGGCACAAGGGGGCAAATCACAGCTTGAATGCTAGGGCAAACTGCAGAGACTAATATCCTGAAAAGAGGGAAATGGAAAGAAATGTAATCGTTAGTTACTTCATTTTTTTTGTGTGTTTTTTTTTTTTTTTGTTAAAGTGTGTGGAAGCTCCATGTAAGCTTCTGCAATGGAGGGAAGAGCATTTAAGGGAGTTGGTGAGATTAGCCTTGTTGGGCTACCTGTAGAATTCCCAGGGGAATATGCAGTAGTGTTCAGAAAATAATTTGTCCCTGACCTTTGATTAAAAAGTTTCTGCTTCGTTGTATGTTTCATCAGTCATTGTTGCACTGGCAGTGCACGTTGTTGCTGGTAATGTATAAATGTCTTTGATAAAGCTGAATAGAATTTTACAAGCTTTAAGGAAGGTTGGGGGGCATTTCTCTTGTTCCAGAGCGCGGGGAAGTGCAAAGGCAAAACAAGATGCAGGACGTTATGGTTTTTAGTGTAAGAAGGCAATACAGAATCTCAGGCAATTGAAGGTGTTCAGCTAGACATGAAAGTTACTGCCGCTGTTTCACAGAATAACCTTATAATCAAAGTTTGCGGTTCACAGATTTTAAAGCATTTTCAAACTGCATGTGAGTGATATGATTTTCTACTAGCTGTACAATTTAGATAACATAGTCCTTGTGATTATTTTCAGTTAGATCACCTGAGCAGATTACTAATTCTAAATCACCTTATTTTAATTTTGAGTCAGAAATCAGAGATGGCTGTTATGTACATAATTGCACTCTTTTTAAGATTTGGATTGTTCAATATAACATGTTTTGTAATGGGCAGTTGTCACTTTCTACGTTTGGATTTTCCCTCTTCTTCCTTAATGACTTCAGCCTGTAAGGAAATCTTTCTGATGCTCAGTATAAAATTTCACTGTATTAATTTCCCATCCCATATCATACAGCAGCCTTGATTTTTGTTGTGGTATTTTAGGGGTGTATCAAATTGTCATCTGATTTCAGTGGCCTTCAAATTTGGTGAATGCTTTGCTATGCCTTTTTAATTGCTCTTTCTCTCAAAGGAGTATTGCAGAAACAAACCTATTGTACAGCGGTGAGTCTCATTAAACACACACGCTAATTCCAGGGTCAAAGCAAAGTTTTGATGATTCATAGCAAATATCTGAAGACTCAACTAAAAGCTGAACGTCTGTCTTGCTTCCTGAGTCTTGTGGTGGGAAAGTCATGTTTGACCATGTAACTAAATATACTGTAATGCATATTCACAAGGGGGCAAATCAGAATACTAAAATACTAACTCTGTTTTTTGCTGACTTCACTGCTTGTCCTTTTAGTATCAGTAACAAATGTTTTGCTATAAGTTTTGGCTTAATTTCCTTGGCTTTTGTATTGGAGAGCTGAAGTATAAACTAATGCCTTCCCAAGTTTACAGCATTTGAATGCAGAATTTCAGTATTTGTGTGTAACAATTAACTACAGTAAATAGCAGAAGAAACCAGATTTAGGGACTGACCACTAGAGGAAGCTACGTAATAGTCTGGTCTTGTGGATATATTTGGATAATTCCTTTTTACAGGTAGGGTATTGTAAAAATATATATAGAACTGCAAAATATATAGATTTCTTCTAACGACCACTGCAGTTCAGTGGTTGAAGCTTGTCTTTGCCACTTGGAAATGTTGTTTAAGCCATCTTGTGTGAGTTAGGATTGAGTAATAAATTCTTCCTCAACATTAAAGGCAGTAAAACTGACAACAGTCATCGGAAGTAAAAAAAAAAAAACAAAACCCCTGGGATTTTATACTTCTCTGTTAAACTTGTAATCCTGCTTTAGCTAGCGCAGGACAGAGCCCTTGTTTCTCAGCTTTGAGGCAGATTTTTGTAGGCTGAAGGATATTCTCATGGGGAAGCAGCCATCGTAGAGAAGAGATTCTCTATTCCTCCAGGAGAAAGGCTTATATGACATAACGTGTATGTATGCAAGTTGGATACATGTGATGCTGCTAGATTCCCTAAAGATTACGGTAGAGGACAAAGGCATAGAGAATGCAAGCTTTCAATAGTTCATAATTTACCCAGATTTTCATAAGGCCAATAAAAAAAGCTCCACATAACATCAAGGTTAACCTGCTGCATAAGTTTAATTCATTCTCCCCACCAGAGAGAGATGTTAGGGAGCTAATAAAATTTTTCCGACAATTAATTTTATAGAAAGGTTTGTCTGGCAGCCTAAGTGTATAAATGATACGGATTTTGTTCTGAGTTATTGGCCAGCTTGTAACTGGAAACAGCTAACCTTTGCAGTGTTCACTGTAAAATAAACATTTCTAGAATTTCAAACTTCTTGTTCTTCCACTGTAATTAGAGGAATGTTGATTTATACTATATTAAAACATTGTTGGGTCTTAGCTATTTTTTTCACAGTAGCCATGCTTTGGTTACTTTGTGCCTTTGCATAGGACAGTAATCTCAGAAATAGTTACATACTGACTGAAGTAAGTGGTCTTCTGTGTGGTATGATTGCTAATATTTATGGGGCTGGTCTTAGACGTTGCTTGTCAGCATTCCTGTTTTATTTAGCATGTTTTTAGAATGTTCAATTACTGATAATTTTTATGTTTTACGCTTTTACCTTTAAAAAGGTGATCTGAACATGTCTAGACAAACTGTAGTCTCAAAAATTAGCAAACTGCCAGATACAACACATGTAATGTAGCAATTTTGGTGTCAACCTTATTACTTTTGCTCTCTTTGTTTATTTTTACCCTGTAGCAAGAGGTGTAAGTGGTTCAAATGGACAGGATTTCAAACCACAAATATCCAGATAGTTATCCTTTTGAATCACCAGAAGTGTGATCTCAGAGGCATCACTACCAGTCCAGTTCAGGATTAGACTATTTTCTAAAACTAATACTTACATGGCTGTGTGAAAATAAATTTTGGGAAAACATCCAGACTTTACTGAATACCATGAAAATGTCATGCTATATGTAGTGTATGTACTTCAAAGTGTCTTTTTTCATTATAGATGCTTCAAAAATTTCTAATGTGTCTAAACACTGAAAATTTCAGCTTGACAAACTGTTGTGAAGAATTATATTGGGGTATACAGACACTATGAGAAAATAGTTCTGGGTTTACCAGTTTCTTCATTCATATTAATATCTTGAGGCTGAATGCTGAAAGGGTAATGTTGATTTAGCTGCTGGATTTTGTGGGGTGCATAGTTTGGCTTTTGGTGGTTTTTTTTGTTTTGGATTTTTTTTGTTGATACACCCAGCTATTATGTTCTGTTAGGTTCAAATCAATTTGAAAATGTGTTATGCATACAGATGTAGTTAATGTTACAAAAACTTAGTACCAAGCTAGATTCTTTTTGGGGTTTCTTACTAATACTGGGAATAGTCCCTGTTCCCAGAGGAGGAACAATAGTGAAGAAATGAAACGAAGATTAGACTGTCCTGGCTAATGGAGAGACTTTAAAACGAGTTGCATCAGTTTTACTCAAAATTCGTCAAAACGCTGATAATTTACCAAATGGTTTAATGGGGTTTCTTTTATGTTTTGTGGCAAAGACTATTGTTCAGAAAACCTATCAGAAAGGTTATTTAAACTAAAGAGCATTGTCAGTGCTTTCAGTTAATGAACTATTAAGTAGCTATTTTCATAAATGTAATGATTCACTTGGAAAAGTGCATGTCTACAAATAATTTTAAGCCCGGTCTAGGTGCCACCAAGACCAATAGGGTACAGATCAAGCCTACA